AAAAAAAAAACATGTAAAGAAACACTACTTTGATCAACCCGAGAAATAAATGATGCAAATATTTTTTACCATGTGGTATATGCATGATTGCAACTGTAGCACCTGATATCAAATCTGGGAATGTATCGTTTTTCCAGCGGTAGTTGTACAGCCAATCAGTGATTGGAAACAGAGAAAACAGACCTTCCTTCATATCACACCTTTTTGATGAGTGCACCACGCGCTTTTTGAACCCTGCTCCACCAAAAGAAATAAAATGATTAAATATCTTTGGCTATGCCCATCTCTTCATTCAAACACCTGTGGCGCTTACCTGGCTTTTTGGGTTTGCTGTAGAGGTAAAGCTGGTCGAAGTCACTGCGAGTGCTGGGCTTATTGATCCTGTTGCTGGCATTGCGAATGATCACTGGTACTTGACTTGTCGCCTCGCCGTTGACGAGAGAGAGCGCCTCGTCCAGGAATCTGAAACAGAGGTAAGGCAGGAATGTACCTGGAGGTTATACCTTTGCTGGCTGGTCCGCTAGTGGTCGTTGGAGTCAAGGTGTCCTCATAAAGAACACTTCACGACGAGAGATAAACGATAGCGCCTGCTAAGCACTGGGTAGGCCAACCCGCCAATCAGCTGTGTGGACACGGTGGCCCACCCAGAGGCTTCAGGCAAGCAGAGCATTTGTTTGGCTCCGAGCTGCTGCGAAAACCTACTTTTGAGGCCCGGATTTTATGACCAATGTTTCATCGCTCTCGCGTCACTTGAGGGGCCGGGACGTTCATTTTAGGGAGCGCATGACCCTGGCGTGCTTCTCAGCAACACCTTTGCAAACACCCAACGCATTGCGTCCCGGCCGGTCGGCATACGGACGTGGAGGGGAGTCCAGGTCCGGCACAGGGTCCGTCAACACCCGCGTGCCGTGTCGCGGACACGGGCGGTCCGCGAGCGTCCACGGGTCACGGTCACTGTGGCCACAGGCGTCGTCGAGGAGGGACAGCAGGGCTGCTGGGACGCCCTTCTCGGCCGCGAGGGGATTCTCAAGAGTTCCAACGCAGTGCATCTCAAATCGCGCTTCTGTGCGGGTTTTCGGCGTTTTCCCGCGGGTCACTGGCGGTGACGGGAAGGAGCATTGGGCTGGCACGAAATCTTAGGCCGTTGGCGCTAAAAGGATATGAGTTACGGGCGTCGTCCACGCGTCGGACTAGGCCCTGGCCAGGCCGGCTACAATGACTGTACAGTTGGTTCAGTTTGTTGGTCGAGTGCCTGCCGGCCTGCCGCTGCCGGGTCGGTACGCATCACCAAGCACCACACCCCCACCGTCGCACCGTCCAGGACGGCGCGCATAGCCACTGCTGCCGGGTGTGACGGTGCAGTGGCGTAAAGGTGTGAACGAAGGTCTGAAGGCAGGCACTCAGGCGCTACGGCGATTACGAGCTTGGATCTCTCCCTCTCCCTCCGCGGGGACTGACCCGATAACGCCCTCGCTTCGCCCGCCACCTTCACGCGTCCGGTGCGCCAATAATAATCTGGACCGGATGATCAGGGAGACGGCGACACGTGCAGACACGTGTCGGCCGGCCAGAGCCGTTCGGCGCGACGCGTTAACATTCGCGCCCTCGGCCCGATGGGAAAGTGCTGATGGAGACGGCAGGCGATAACATGACACCGCCGCCATCCGGCCCATGGGCCCACATCTGGCGCGGGGCGGGGGCCCGGGCGCGGCCAGCAGAGCGGGCATCAGCGTCAGCAGGGTCAGCAGGTGCAAGCACGGCTAGCAGGACGGGGAGGAAGGACCAGCCAGCACTGGACGGGCTGGGCAGGGCGGGGGCGTCAGCACGGACAAAGCGACAAGCGCCGCCAGCATGAGGGGGAAGGACCAGCAGGAGGCCAGCGGCCACACGCCGTTTTGCTGCACCACACCGAGTTAGCATGTTGTGGCGCGGCCGAAAGAGCACAGCCGGGCCCGAGGGCGGCCCGATGGCCGGTTGCGGCGCCGGCGTCAGACCGGACCAAGGCCACCGAACCGCCGTCAGCCGCCACTCGCGGCCGACCAGACAGAGAGATGCAGAGACGCTCTATGGTGACAGCAATAAGGGGCGAGTATATTGAAGTGCACGGCCACTTGACGCAGTGAACCGGCCCTGTCGCCTCTTCCTC